GATGGGTGTGTGGTGGTGGTGGGGGGTGATTGGGGGAGGGGGTTGTGAAGGGGCCGGGTGTTTGGGGGGAGCAAGGGTGCGCAGACGCCCACCAGCGGCGCCCTACCGTTATGCCTGTGGGCCCAGCGCCTTGCGCGAATCCCTTGGGCTGGTCTGTCGTCGGTGGCCGCTGCAGGGTGTGTTGATTGGCGCCGTCTGGCGGGCTTTTTGCAGCAGTGGCCACTCATCAACCCTGACGTCTCTCAACCCCTCACGCCAGGTGTCTGAGACCCTGGCCAAGGAGGTCCTCACCGCCCCGGGCCAGGAGGTGTCGCTGATCAACACCAACGAGGTGGGGCACGCGCCTGCAGGGCGGGGGGCGAAAGGGGGGAGGGGCGGAGCGGCGCGTGCCCGCAGGCGCGCCGCCACCCTAGGCGCGCCCGCTGCAGGCCCCACCATGGCAACCGTGCGCGGGCGGCCCAGCCGTCCCTCAGGACAAGGATGGCTGCGCCCCTTTGCACATCCCCGGGTCTTGCCCCGGATCGCCCAGGCCCTGCCTAGCGGGGCCCCGCCCGCACCCGCACGCCGCACATGACACCCACACCCAACATCCCCTCCTCTGCCCGCCACCCCCTCCACTCTGTGTCAATACCTGGCACCCACACCAAACACCCCTCCTCTCGCACCACACCCCCTCCTCTCCGCACGTCACAGCGCGAGACCAAGGGCAAGACCTACTACGAGTTCGAGTTCACCGCGAAGAACAGCCGCTACACGCGCCACAGCGTCGCCGTCGTCACCGCGGACCGCGGCATCTTCTACACGCTCACCACCGGGGCCAACGAGCGCCGCTGGGGCAAGATGGGGGACAAGCTCAAAACCACCGTGCGCAGCTTCCAGCTTGTGAACTGATCGCGGCCGATTTTTTTGGATGGGGTGTGAAGCATTCCTCTGGCCAATTTTTGAGGTGTAAACGCAACGTTGCCTGCGGCGGTCGCAAGACAGACAGTTTGATGGGGGTGGGCATGCGGCAGAGCAGGGCGTGCTGCTGGTTGTGCTGTGAGGCCCATGTCCCTGTGAGGCTGACCCGCCCATGCCTGACGGGCCGCGTGGCTTGATCGACAAGAGACGTGCGGGTTGCAGGCGGGCACTGCAACTCTAGGTCCGTGCTCGCGCTGCGTTACTGGTGTTGGTCGCGCCGAGGACCCCTGTGTGGGACCACAGCAACCCCACAGCGTCCCGGAAGGCATCGGCAGTTGTGCCAGACATGAGCGATGCCACATCAGCACTGCTACGCAGCTTATCAAGAGGCATTACGTGAAGGCATGGAGAATGCATGCAGGCTGTGTGACAACAATACCGCTCATTCTGATTACCATGTGCTGTTGCCGCATCTCCAACTGGGCAGTCTGTATGAATGCAACTCCAAGCCGCCTCATTTCAAGCAACATCTTACAATCAAACTGCTGCAACCGCAACGCCCCGACGCCGGGCGCATGGGGGCGCAAAGAGGCCTCAACAGGGGTCGGGCCGCCCGCGCGGGTCACGCAACATGCGGGTGTGGCGCAGCAGCAAAGTGCAGTAGCAAATAAGGTCGCTGGCAGCGCAAGCGCAAGCCGACGGGCACAGCTCAGCCGCACCAATTGCGGGCGCCTTGGCACAGGGCACTCAAGTGGACGGATGCGGTGTGTGGAGAGGCGCCTCAGAGCCGCGCAGCCAATGACGACCAGAGCACGCCCTGGCCACCAGGAACGCCAATGAGAGATTGTGAGGCGGGGCGTCTGGAGTTGTGGGCGCCCCTCCAAGAAACGTTTCACAGGGCCGCAGCTGACCTGGCAAGGCCACCTGCCCAGAGAGCGTGGCGCGGCCTCAACCGTCCGTCTCTGCGTCGGCCCGCTCCTGGTGCGCCGGCGCCGCGGCCGCCGCGACGGCGGCCGCTGAACCGCCAGCAGCAGGCTGGCCTTGCTCTGCCTGCGGCGGCTGCGGCGCAGCCTTGGGCGGTGAAGCCAGGTGCGGGTGTCCGTCAGACGGCGTGGCGTGCTGCTGCTCCGCGGGCTGCGCCTCTTGTCCGGCGTCTGTGCGCGGCTCGCCCTTGAGCCTCTTGGCCTTTGGAGATGCCGCCTGGTCCCCTTCCTCCTCTGGCAATTTCACTACGCCTGCGGCGAGCTCGTGCTGCTGCTGCTGCTGCTGCTGCTGCTGCTTCCCGTGTGCCTTGCCGCCGTTGGCAGCGTGCGCGCACACCCCTGTGCTGGCGGCCCCAGGGTCAGAGTGCGAGTGGCGCAGCCTCTTGGACGGCGGCCCGTCCTCGCAG